ACCATACTGAAACCTGTATCATATGTTTTAAACAACAATATTAAATGATTGTTATTGATTGATAGTGACTGTTTAAAGTTTTGTGTATAGAGTTTTGAAAATTGACATCAGGGCTCTGAAATTTGCAGCAAAGCAATTGTAAAAAACTGTAGGTCATCTCAACTTTATATTAGGTATTATTTATTAATGTCGTTAAAGTAATTTTTGGCCATATTGAGTCACATTTACTTAGGTCAATTATGTTATGTTAACTCACCTAAAATCTGTACTCTGGGGAATGATGTTTACTTAGTTTACTCAAACTACAGTCTTAATTATGCAGAATTAAACTGTTTGGTAACTACTAAAAACCACAGGTGTTGCATGACCCCCCCCCCCCCAAAAAAAATTAATTAATTAAGAATTGTGTTTTTCCACTCATTTTAAATAACTTACTGTTTTCTATCTATTGTCCCACTTCCTAAAGTAGACTGTAAAAAATATTGTCAATGGTATAAATGAAACAAAACACTTTGTATTTTATAAGAAAAAAAATGTGAAAATTGACACAGGATATTACCTAAGCTCTTAAACAAGTCTTACAATTTGTATATTTTAGACATTTTAATACGAGTACTTCATTTGCCCTTTTGCTTGTTAATAAATTATTTAAAAAATGTGTGCAATTTGAGTGCAATCACGGAAACAACAGTAAAATAGTGCTTGAGCAATTTCATGTTTTATATAATTGTATAAAATGTTAAATCAATTATTCATACTTGCTATAATTAGTTATAATTAGGCCCAGGTTTGCCTTAACAGAAGGCATGGCATGCTACAATTAAAGATTTATCAAACAAAATGAGGAACTGTCCCAGTGGACTACTTGCAGGCAATTAAAACTCAAAAACACGGTGTGTAGTCTGACATCAGGCAGCGGTGGCAAGAGGCATTTGAATAAAACATTCATTGTACATGTCTTTTTAGTCATATTTATAAATTTGCAGCTGAGTTTGCATCCACTTGACAGCTTGAGTCTCGCCAGAAAGTGCAGTACGGAAGATATTTTTATTTTATTTATGCATGCATATTTTAACACTTTTTTTACGCTGTTTTCATTAGGTTGTACAAACATGTTTACTTGTACAGTCCATTCACTGCTTGGATCAGCAGTTTAAATAGCACATCAAAAATTGCTCAAACCCAAATTGCAAACACAGTACGATTTCATTCATTCATTCATTCACTCATTCATTCATTCATTCATTCATTCATTCATTCATTCATTCATTTAATCGTTCATTCATTATTCATTTTCTTTTTGGCCACTCCCTTTATTAATCAGGGGTCACCACAGCGGAATGAACCACCAACTAATCCAGCATATGTTTTACACAGCAGATGCCCTTCCAGCTGCAACCAATAACTGGGAAACACCCACACACTCTCAATCACACACATACACTATGAACAATTTATCTTAACCAATTCACCTATGGTGCATGTCTTTGAACTTGTGGGGGAAACCAGAGCACCCGGGGGAAACCCGTACCAACATGGGGAGAACATGCAAACTACACATAGAAATTCCAACTGACCCAGCCGGGGCTCCCACTGTGCCACTGTGCCACCCCAGTACGATTTCATAACTTGTAGTTGTTTTTTGCACTGTAAAAAATGCTGGGTTCCACACGACCGATTTGTGTTTAGACAACATGAAGGAATTTAGTTGACTTATAGTCTTTTACAAATTTAAACGGATTGAACATAAAACAGGGCAACACGGTGGCGCATTGGGTAGTGCTGTCGCCTCACAGCAAGAAGGTTGCTGGTTCGAGCCTCGGCTGGGCCAGTAAGCGTTTCTGTGTAAAGTTTGCAAAGTTCTCCCAGAGTTCGCTTGGGTTTCCTCCGGGTGCTCCAAAGTCTGAAGACATGTGGTACAGGTGAATTGGGTAGGCTAAATTGTCCGTAGTGTATGAGTGTGAATAAGTGTGTGTATGTTTGCCAGAGATGGGTTGCAGCTGAAAGAGCATCTGCTGTGTAAAACATATGCTGGATAAGTTGGCGGTTCATTCCGCTGTGGCGACCCCATTAAAGGCACTAAGCCGAAAAGAAAATATATATATATATATATATTTTTTTTTGCTGCTTGTTCAAATTACTTGTTTAAAATGAGCAGAAAGAACACAATTCTTTAGAATTTTAGGGGACAATTATAAATATTTTTATGTTCAATCCACTTATTTTTTTTCAAAATCAGTTAACTTAATTGATTCGTGTTGGGACAACATGAAACCAACTGTTCACTGGCTTGTTGGTTGATCGGTGTGATCATTGTTTGCGGGTGTGATGTGTAGAGCTCGACTATTTCTTGAGTTCTGTTTTCTTGTTTAACCTGATGAAGACCATAGATCAAAACGTTGTTACAATAAGAAAAAAAAATTTAGGGCTAAACTGAAAGAATGAAAACAACGCTATCTCACAGCAATTCGCATCTTTTTAATTTAGTGGCTAATTTGTATGAATTCATACAATCTCATTCGCACAATTTAGTACGATTTGCTTATCCCCCGAAGATGGTTGGGATTAGAGGTGGGGTTTGGTGACATGCCTTCTTTTTAAAATCATACAGATTCATACGACTAAACTAGTACGAATTTGTATGAATTAGCCACTAAACTAACAGAATGTAAAATACTTACGTGTTCTCGTGATATCAGGCTGGTGAAACCCAGCATTTTTTACATTGAGTGTGGTCTTTTGCTGGAGTTCATCTGCATGGTTCAACATTCAGAGATGCTCTTATTTTCACTCACAGAATATTTAGTCTTTTTCTGGTTAATTATTTGCAAACCTTAGAAATAATTGTGCATTACAATTCCAGTAGATCTGCAATTTCATTATTCAGATTTTACCAATCCGCTCCACTTAAACCACATTTTCCCTCATTCTGATGCTTGTATTAAACTTCAGCTGGTAATCTTTACCATGTATACATGCCTAAATGCATTGAGTTTGATTCCATGTGATTGGCTGTTTAGATACTTAAACAATCTGAGCGTTGTGGATGTGACATTTGCAGTAAAAACTCTAAACAGAAATTCACATTGGTGAATTGAATAAGCTAAATTCCCAGTGCTGGGTTGCGGCTGGAAGGGCATCCGCTGTGTAAAACATATGCTGGATAAGCTGGTGGTTTATTCCGCTGTTGTGACCCCTAGAAGAATAAACGGAATATGTCAAAGGAAAATTAATGAATGTTATTTTCCAAAACAACTTACAACTGAGTTATGGGATTAGAAAAACATTAATCTGTAAACATTTCTTTTATATTTTAATTGAGGAAAATAAACAGGCTATGACCAAAAAAGTTTAGAGTATACAACGTTGTAGAAAATCTGTGTACTACTGAAATAATTCTGATTAAAAGGATAAGAGCTGGCTCCCTATTGAACAAAAATGATTGATCTTATTTTATTTAACATTGTTGCATTAATGAGGAAAACTGAATTTTTTCATGACGAGGTTTACATTTGCATGGAACTGCTCATTTGCATTAATGAGCAGTTAAACCTGTGCACCTAATAAAGTGGCCGGTGATTATATTAAAATTTCATTGTTTGAAGTAGATAAAGCTGAAAGATTATAACTAACAGTCACTCAGTCAATAAACTAACTCTGATACTAGCACAAAAAGCATGAATTTAGGTTGTCATTTTGTATAGAGACTGTATCCACTCTTTCTTTGCTTTAGAAGAACATTCATGTTTTTGTCTGCATGACCTGATTTTTCTGCATGAATTCTCTGTTATAGATAAGATTGCGAATAATGTTCTGTATGAGAATGTCAAAGCAATCAGCTTTGTTTATTTTGCCACCCTGTAAATTTACACAATTAATGTCTCTTCTAGTATAGTCTAGTTTTTGTCTCAAGTCACACTTTATGTTGAATAATGGATTTTATCCCTCATGGGCTCACGATTCTCTGCTCTGTTCTAATGGGGTGCTACACTAAAGGACATATTTAAATGTCTCGAGTGGGAGTGTTGCAGGAAGCCTTCAACGCTTGTATTTGCATGAGCGAGCAGAGAACTTTTTGGACAGGAACAGCACAGCGTTTGGCATGCAACCCTGAAACAGTTTTTATTCGGCAGCCATGTGGGAGGATCCTATTTGAATGCATCTTGTGTAATGTTTGATCTGACAGGCAACATGCTGATGTGCATGGATATGCAGTCAATTAGCATTGGCAAGACTGACTTGCAGGTGCCTGATGAAGATAGATCAGGTAGACGTAACTCTTTTCAACTACAAATAAGTTCTGTGATTTTTTAAAAAGATGGTTAAATTACCTTCTCAAAACTTCAGTCGCCTACAGCTAAACGTACAGCGATCTGCACACATTTCAAGCCCAGACAAAATGCAGAGGAGACATCCATCAGTTTCAAAAGAGTCTCTTACAATCAGATCTCCATGCCTGCTGGCAGCTATATGTTGGAGAGCAGCAGTAAGCGGGTTTATTATGAAGACCTGCCAGTTCTGTGGGTGCTGGAACTGGAGCTTCCCCGAAATTGCAGAATCCAGCCTTGGACAACCTGCTAGAAGAAGCTAATGCATTTCTGCACTTGATACCCGCATAATTCCCTAGAGTGCTATGGCATAATCTATGTATGATAATGATGCAATGTCAAACATTTTCTTATTTGCCAGAAGTGGGCGAGCATGTGAAACTGCATTTTCATGCCTCCAAGGAAATAACCTCATGACCAAAGTGACAACGTAAAGAGATGACAGACGTGGTGGCATGAATAGCCTGTGGAGATTTGTATGTGTGCGTGTGGCTATGTGTTAATTACATGCCATTGCGATTCAATGTTTCTTTTCTAAATATGCGAGATGTCACTTTCCGATCCTGCTCCCCCCAATCAGCACTAAATCATCAGTCTATCGCGGATAGGTTGGTTGTTCTGCTGTGAGCGCAGCGCGGAATGTGTCTGGGATGCAACCAGTAGTTTAGACTGACTGACTGACTGCTGTGAAGAAGTAGTTGCGCATCACTGACGGATTCCAGCGCCGCGGAAACCGCCGAAAGTCACGTCTTTCTTCTCACTGAGCTAAATGGCTCGGATTTACGACAGATACGACTTATGCAGATGAGTGATTCGATTCTATAAGCGTTTGGGAAATGCAAACGATTGTCCGGCTATAAATGTAAGTACGCAGTGTGTCATGTGTGAGGCGATGGACATTCATTAATGTGAATGAAGTGTTTGAAAAAGTCGGGAGTGCACGTTTTATGTTTTTATTTTCGCTTACTCTTAATCATGCTTGTTTTTACCATTTGATTTGGAAAAATGATTCATTTTGTTGAATACAGCTTCTTTTATATGAAACAGTTTGTGTTGATATGCGTTTATGATTAGTTTCACTATATAGTATGCTGGGTTTGCTTTTATAATGAAGTTCAGGTGTGACAGGTCTTTAAACTTAACCCTTAAGGTTTTTAACCATTCATGGGGGGAAAATATTTCAATTAGTTTAAAACTGCTTCTTTTATACTAAACAGTTTGTGTTAATGTGGGTTTTATGAATATTTTCACTGATATATGCTGGGTTTGCTTTTATAACGAAGTTCAGGTGTGACAGGTCGTCAAATTTAACTCGTTTATAGGTCCATGTTCATGTTTTTTAGTGTAAATGCTGGCATAAAATTTAATCATTAGAGTGTGTTCTTAGTATTTTTCAGTGATGGGTTGCAGCTGGAAAGGCATCTGCTGCTTAAAACGTATGCTGGATAAGTTGGCGGTTCATTCCGCTGTGGCAACCCCAGATTAATAAAGGGACTAAGCTGAAAATGACTGAATGTTCCTAGTAATCGGTTCATTTTGCTGTGTATCGATCTCTGAAGTTGTGACTAAGTCGAAAGAAAATGAATGAATGAATGAATGATTTAATTAATTAATGTTCTCGGTATTGTTTAAATGGCTATTTTGAACCTAATGATTCTGTTTTGATTTTGTAGTGCACATATGTGCAATCTGTGTGCGTAGTATTCATTTAGAATATACATTAATATGGTTTAATATGAGAATGTATGTATAATGTTAATATAATAAAATACTAATAAATAATATAATATATAATACGTTACTAATACGCCGTAATACTTTTAATTATTAATATTCTACATTTTAAAGTGGTTAAAGTGGCTAACTTATAACTATCACAAATTAATCAATGCAAGACCATTACAGCTTTACAGTAAATAGGATAATTGTGTTTCTGTAAGCAGGGATAACATGGCCAGCAATTATTTTCAGTTTTTGCATTTGTTTTTTCCTGCAGGATTCAGCTATACAATATATTTCAGTGACCAGCTCAGATTTTCAGATGAATGACAGTTCCAAAACTAAAACTCTGGGATGTTTCTGTAGAGGCACTAAGTTGAAAATAACTTTTGACAGATGTGGTCTAAAGATATTCTGACTCAGTTCTGGCAAAAATTGCATGGAATATGTAGGCACATTATATGCATCTGTTTTGTCTGTTGCTTATTTAGATCCACTTACAATGGATTTGAAGTGAACTGAGCATCATTATCATCCTCTCAGCTTCATATTTCTCCCTGGTGTCACAGAGCACCACGCTTCATTTCATTATAAGATTGTTTTTTGTAATGGCACTCATAGATTGTAAAGTCGATATAGTGTCTGAATAGGTCAAACAAGACAAGGTTATAGTAAAGCCCTTGAACTGGATTAATTGACATCCTTAAGTGACACAATGACTTAATGGTTGCAATGACTGTATCCATTACTATAGTGTGGCCTGAAAAAACATACAGATTTCCATCTCGTGATTAGCTGAAGGCTTTAGGCTAAGCTCTCTGCTGATTTACAAATCAGCATTTTTCAGATGCTCTGTTAGCTGGTAAATGATCAGTTGTGTCAAAGCTGTTTATTCTGGGTATCATGAGATGCCCAGATAATATTTATCAAAAGCAAGGCAATCTGATTTATCCTGCACAAACTCTCTCTTCCACATTCATATTTTATTATTTACAATATTTCAGAGGAAAAAATTAGATGTTTTTCTTGTTGCATCATACAAATAAATATAATTATTTTTCATTTAATTATAAGGCATAAAATCTTTCACATTACGCTCCTGTTTTGCTTTCATGATTAATTTAGAAGGTATCGGTGGAGATATTTTTAAGTTTCTCACAGAACTGTAATTGGACCCTGCTGTTCAAGATACAGAACTCAGTCATTCACTGACCTAGATTCTCTCTGAGATTTCTGCTGTTTGAAGTCAATATAGCAAGAAGGTGCACAATAAAGAAAAACAGCTGAGGCTCTTTGCTTTGTAGATGAACGTCACTTAGTAATGTCAGACCAGCCGTCATGCAGACCTCCTAATCATGCAGTTCAAAAGTTTGGGGTTAGAAAGAGGTTTCATTTTTGAAAGAAATAGTATCTTTTTTCACTAATAACACATTCAATTGATCAAAGTGACAGTGGAGATGTTACAAATGACTTATATGTCTAATAAATGCATTTTCTTTGAAACATTTCATCAAAGAATCCTAAAAAAAGCATCACGGTTTCAACAAGAAAATCACATTTATATTTAATATTGTAATAAATATGTGTATATACACTCAAGTACACATGTACAAATACTGATGTTGTCATTTAGAGCTTTTTGTTTGACAATCATTCAGAATAACAGGTTTGCATTTGCTGTGATCAGGTTTATGATCACCTTTCTGTTGTTTTATGCCACATTTTTATTTATTTATAGATATAAATTTGATAGAATAGAGAAGAGATAAAAGAATGTACACCTAAACCTACTTTCAACCCAATTATGGGTGTAATAGGACTAACCCAACTGCCTGGTTACTTTTTTAGCTAAATTAATAGGACCAAATTTAACCCAATGTTTGGGTCAGTCCATATTTTAACCAATTTAATATTTAATTAATCTGGCATTTTTAATGTGTACAGAAAGCCAGAGCAAATTTAATATTAGCTTACTGTTGGTAAACAGAGAAGGTTGATGTGCTCAAGAGAATTTAAAAACATTTACAATTTTGCAAGCCCCAAACATTTCAATGATAGCAAATATTACACACAAAAGTCAGGAGGGCAGTTTTGTGTATCTGTAGCACCGGAGACCCAATACCCATATCCACGAGTGCATTCACAGCCACAGGCTTTTTGGGTTTTACTGGGAAGGCTGCTAAATATGTCCAGCATACCCTTCCCGTAGGGTCTTCCTTATCAAGGTTCAGACCTCATTGAAGATGTCACCTGTCACTCTAAATGAATGACATCTCAGTCTTAAGACCAGGATCCTCTGAGCAGCCACTGACTCACTAACCACGAGGGTGGAAGTGAGGGAGAACAGCTTTTCATAATTGAGGAAAGTTTGAGAGTGGGATATGCAGTGGAAAACTACATATTTTAAGAACAAATAAGATCTTTTTTTCCAAAAGAGGTGTCAACTGTGCACTGAACAAAAATCACAAAAATCAAAGGAAGACTTCACCTATAAATAATTCTGTCATTGTTTATTCACCTCCACCATGTTCTAAATCCGTATGCCGTTTTTTCTTTTGTGGAACATAAAAAGAAGATATTTTAAGAGTGCGTGACCGCCATTAAAAAGACATTACACTGTAAAAACTGTTGGGTTCTACACACATGATTTGTGTTGGGACAACATAAAAGAATTAAGTTAACCTATTAGTTTTTAAATGGCATGATGATTTTTATTGGAATAGATTTTCCGTGTGCAGTTAATTAAAGGAAAGTTGTGCAGGCAATGGTCAAAAACAGGGGCAAACAGTAGCATAAAGATAATCCTATATCCGTGTTCCACATACAGGCAAATGGTAAGGTATGGGGTAAAGAATCAAAATGAAAAGCAGACAAGGATTAAAAACAAGGCAAGACAAACAGGAAAACAATTGGTAATGTTTGCTAGGTGCGTGATGAGTTATCAGCTATTTAAGTGTAATCAGTGGGAGACAGGAACTGGTGTGTGCGAGGTGCTGCTGGGAGTTGTAGTTCATTACTGTGACGTGCAATCTCCACCAATCTGCAACTGCCAGATCGCCGGCGATCACAACAAATGCATTAAATTACCCTAAAATGAGAATTGTGTCATCATACTGTATACTTATCTTTGTGACACAACAAAATTCTAATAATTTTACTTAAATCTGAGAGATTTTTGTCCTCTATTATAAGTCTGTTCACCTCAAACTCCGACACTTCTAAATGTTCCTAAAGAATTTAAAATACACTAGTTTGAATCAAGCAAGTCATAATCCATTCATAATTGTCCTTCAGTCCCTTATTTATCAGGGGTCACCACAGTGGAATGAACCACCAACTACTCCGGCATATGTTTTACAAAGCAGATGCCCTTCCAGCTGCAACCCAGTACTGGGAAACAGTCATAAACCATTTTTTTTTTGTTTACAGGATTTATGTTTAGAGCTGCTGTAAAAATAGTTTGAGAAATCGATTTTTCAATTTCAAAATGCATAGCTATTTGAAAGGTTAACATATAAAAACATATTTTACATATTGTGAGCTGTGTTTAATCTTGTGGCAATAAAACCAACTTACATGAAACGCATTATGTGATAGTTTGAGTGTAAAAACCAAGCTCAGAATCGATTCAAGAGAGAATAGAGATGCATTTTGAAAATCGCAGAATTGATTACTATTGGTTATATGTCGAAGTATGCTAAAGGACTTTTAATTTGTCAGTAACCTGGGTTAAGTGCTTCCGGTATACTGTATGCCATTGTAAAAATGGTGCATGCAAGGTCTATTTTCTTTAAAAATCAACTCTTCTCCACTAGCTGAGGGATATCCGATATAAAGAGGGTCTCAGATTGTACAAGAAGCACTGCATTAAATTACATTTTCCCCGCCATAATCAATAGAGCTTCTGCGCTAGCCTGCCGATTCTGACAGGCATGTGCAAGTAAACGACTTTTTCTCTCATTTTACGCTTGAGCAACTAAATGAATGCCAATGTCTATTTAAATGATTGTATTGTAATTACATTACAACATTGATGCCGTAAAAAGGAACCGTATAAAATGAAAAAAAAAAAAAAGTCACGTTAATCGTTCACCGGAGGCTTATCATTATGGGAAGAAACACTAGCTCCTCATATACCCTATTACGATTACTATTCATGCTTGGCTGTTAAAGCTGGATCATGCTTGCTTGACACACGAGAGCCAGTAAGACTCATTCTTGTGTGACACACTGCACATTTGAACTGCTGCAAGAACCAATGATGTATGTTCTTGCATGTACAGCAGATAAAGTTCTTATGCTTATACGCTCACTGAGCAGTTATACTGCATGTGAATGAACGCCAAAATGAAATCTATTTATCTTATAAAGCAATCATGTATCTTCAGAAGATTTGGATTAAACCTGTGGATTCGTATGGATTTATTTTTTTCATCTCTATATGATTGTTTCAACTTTCATTGTAAAGATTTGATTAAAAATGTCTTTATTTGTGTTATAAAGATGAGTGAAATATTATAAGTTTAAATGACAGAATGTTCATTTTTGGAATGAATAAATCTTTCTGCAAAATGCACTGATTGCAACATGGCAGTATATATTAAAAAGCAAAGCAGCGGTACATATTCTTCTACCCACCTCCATCACAATCCATTATTATTGAGCTGATGAGCAGAAAAGAGACAGGAGTGTTAAAATAATAATGAATTACATGTTCAGATCTTAGAGATGAGTACTCTGTATGGAACATCCTGGATTTAATTTAAGTGACAGGCAGAATGGAGGAGTTACATCCCAGTGTGTTTTTGTTTGTGTTGGTCTCTGTGAAAGAAGTCCTCATGAAGATCCATTTTTTTTTAAAGTTAGCAACATGACAGTTTTGTGTTTGTTTGGCCTCATCAAAATGACAACCATGTCAACATGATAAGAAACCTTGACTCTGTAGCTCCACCCATGTGATCCAAATGTAAGCATTTTTTTCTGCACATTGTGTGTATGAACACTCGCTGCAGGGCAGACGTCTGTTGTCTGAAGCTCATCGTCACAGCTGCACACAGATTGCAATGGTGCTGGAAGACTGAGCAAAGAACCACAGACTATTTTTTGACATCAGGGAGATAAAAAGTAGCTGTGAAATAGGGCCAGATTAAAGCTACGGTATTTACAAGCCCAAAAGGCTCCGAGCCAGATGGATAGAATTCAAGAATGAGGGGATTGAGAATAATTTTATAACCTAAATACTATTTATACTGTTACATCTTGTCATCTTTGCGTAGTTGCTGGTCACATAGCTAAAGTGGTTTTATGTAATTCCCAGGAATACGCACAGTGTTTATCGAGTTTTATATCACCATCAGTAAATCTGTTATGAGAGTGAACTGGATTCCACTGTAAAACATTTTTGAGGGATTATTTTACTCCGTGCTCTGGGATTATGCAGCAGAGACGGTTACATTTATATGTACAGGTCCAAGGTTAAAGATTTCAAATGAGTTAGACAAATACACTCTGACTCTAATGTGTCAAACAAACCTTTTATCCAAGATTTGTTTGAAATGTAGGCAAATTTGTGCAGATTTTATTAAATGTATCAACATTCATATGTTGATACTGTTTCCCAGTACTGGGTTGCGGCTGGAAGGCCTTCAGCTGCGTAAAACATATGCTGGAATAGTTGGCGGTTCATTCCTCTGTGTCGACTACTGATTAATAAAGGGACTAAGCCGAAAAGAAAACTAAAAAATGAATGAATGAACATTCATGTGTTGATACTGTTTTCCAGTACTGGGTTGTGGCTGGAAGAACATCCACTGTGTAAAACATACGCCGGAACAGTTGGCGGTTCATTCTGCTGTGGAGACCCCTGGTTAATAAAGGGACTAAGCCAAAAAAAAGAATGAATAAATTAATAAACATTCACATGTTGATACTGTTTCCCAGTGCTGGGTTGTGGATGGAAGGCCATCCGCTGCGTATAACATATGCTGGAATAGTTGGCGGTCCATTCCTCTGTGGCGACCCCTGATTAATAAAGAGACTAAGCCGAAAAGAAAATAAATGAATGAATAAATAAGCATTCATATTTTGAGACTATTTCCCAGTACTGGGTTGCGGCTGGAAAGCCATCAACTGCGTAAAACATATTCCGGAAAAGTTGGTGGTTCATTCCGCTGTGGCGACCCCTGATTAATAAAGGGACTAAGCCGAAAAGAAAATGAATGAATGAATAAATAAACATTCATATATTGATACTGTTTCCCAGTATTGGGTTGCGAATGGAAGGTCATCCACTGCGTAAAACATATGCTGGAATAGTTGCCGGTTCATTCCGTTGTGGCAACACCTGATTAATAAAATGACTAAACCAAAAAGAAAAAGAATAAATAAATGAATAAACATTCATATGTTGATATTGTTTCCCAGTACTGGGTTGCAGCTGGATGACCATCTGCTGTGTACAACTTATGCCGGAATAGTTGGCGGTTCATCCCACTGTGGCAACCCCTGATTAATAAATGGGCTAGGCCAAAAAAATGAATGAATAAATAAATATACAGTTATATGTTGATACTGTTTCCCAGTACTGGGTTGCGGCCAGAATAGTTGGTGGTTCATTACGCTGTGGCAACCCCTGATAATTAATTGACTAAGCTGAAAGAAAATGAATGAATCTTGATACTTATTCGTTTTTTTACCCATAGTAATTGAAATATTTTATCCAGTGGTTGAGTCTATCCATATCTTAAACTGGCTTGAATCAACAGCATTTGTATAGCGTGAACCATCATATAGAACTTGTATATTTAAGTATAAGAGTTTTTCCATATATTCCCTTGATTAGCTGGTCAAAAATGTTCTCAAAAAGTACAGTGCAGTTTGAAGCCTTTATTTTTATCTCTTCAGTCAAAGCTTGAGTGAGAATATATTTTGTGACTAAGCAGTCCCCCGATACACTTACGAGAAGGACTGAAAAAACCTGCCCTAATTTTGCCTTCTAAAATGTCAAGCTCTTGTGCTAACTGCGAAATTTGTCAGTAGTGCTTAATCTCTGTACAAATCTGTTGAATCTCTGCATAATCTCTCCATTCTTTGTTTCTCATTTCCCAGTCAGACGCCTGACGCTCGAGCAGCCATGCATGTGTGTAGCTTCGTGGGCTTTTTGCTCCTCCTCCTTTTCATCAGCAGGTAAGAAACTCCTTGTTATGCACTCACTTTCGGTGTTCCTTCACTCATTATTGTCGTACGGCAAGCTGAACATAATTGCTTCCTACGCTGTTTAGTGCCTTTGTGTTTTCCTCAGTTGATTTGAGTCTTAAAAAAAACCCTTCCGTAGTGACTTTGTAAAGTTACTACAAACTAGACGAAGCGGAAAACCCATGTTTGTCAAGAAGTTCTCTTTGGGTGATAAGCTTTCAGAGTGACGTCTTTGCAGAATTGACAAACCGGGTATAATTTAGGTTTTACTCTTTTGGCAGCAAATTAAAGACTATGTGTCTTAAGTATCCATTCACACCAGATTGTGTGGGTTTGTTGCTAAAGGAAGGATGGAATTATAGCTAATCCTTGTAGACTTGCCTGAATGAGACCGTCGGAGTCCATGTACAGGTTACTGATGGAAGCACCAGCCCTCACATCATTTCTCCTCTCTATTTTGCCCGTTTTGAGCTTATCTTTCCATGCAGCGGTACAGTAGCTGCAATGCTAACGCGATTACTGGTGACACTGTAGAGACAAGACACATTGATTTACCGGAACTGCCGCCGCTCAGCCATGTTGAATTGGAATTTCCATTTAATGTGATACGCATCTCATCACTTATGCTGATATTCCGGCCTGACCTTTGAAATTTGATGGGTAGATGTAAGACCTGGTCGGGACGACTCTGCTAAAGATCAAAGGGTGATGTAAAGGAAGTGTGCCAGCATCAATTCACCTCACCATCTGCTTTACCCCACCTCCTTCCTGTCCTCCTTTCCCCTCCAATCTCCCAGCTTCTTCCTGGCAAGAGACTTTAGTGGGTGTACATATAGTTTGGCCAGGAATTCAGCTTTTTTCATGTAACAACCTAAAGCACAATAACAAGAGCAATACCTCCTCTTTGGGTGCTTATCACATGAAGATAAGAATGTCTTATTGAAGGGCTTAATCTCACAAAGGGACATGCAATTGTTTGCCCATCCATACAGGTCCATGCAGAGAGTGGGTTTTACTTGCTGTATTATTTAGGCCATTGGGATTTGTGACTTGTTGGAAATACTAGTGATTTTTAAATATATTTTGCTACTTTCTCGCCATGCAGTTCTGACTCTCTAATGTGTTGTAAAATGGTAATTTTTATTACAGATCAGTTTAGCGATCTTCATATTTACTGCCATAATATTTATGCTAAGGATGCACCAAAAGGAAAATTCTGGGCCAAAACAAAAAATTTTGGTTGCACTAGAGTGAAAGCCAAAAGCAAAAATGCCTTGTTATAATTATTTGTCATTTTAAGACCTTTTAAATTAAACTCTATATATACTGACTTTTTATTGACACTGAACAGCTTTGCCATGACATCACATGAGCATTATTACAAACCACAGGAATATTTATTACGCATGTGTGGTTCATTCTTAGATAAGTATGGGTTCATAAACGGGATATCTACAGATCGGAATATTGAGCTATTTTTAACTTTAATCGTGGCACACGCGATCCACTTTGGTTGACATAACAACAAATCTGTCTTTATATAACCTTATTTCATTGGTTTATTTTAATTGATATTAAAGAGTTTCAGGGCGTCACAGTGGCGCAGTGGGTAGGACGATTGTCTCAGCAAGAAGGTCGCTGGTTCGAGCCTCAGCTAGCTCAGTTGGCATTTCTGTGTGGAGTTTGCATGTTTTCTGTGTTGGCGTGGGTTTCCTCCGGGTGCTCCATTTTCCTCCACACTCCCACACTCCAAAGACATGCGCTACAGGTGAATTGGCTAAGCTAAATTGGCCATAGTGTATGTGTGTGAATGAGAGTGTATGGGTGTTTTCCAGTGTCAGGTTGCAGCTGGAAGGGCATCCGCTGCGTAAAACATATACTGGCTCATTCCGCTGTGGTGACCCCTGATTAATAAAGGGACTGAGCCAAAAAGGAAATGAATGAATGAATAATGGTGCAGTGCTTTCCACATCTGGTGCTTCACTTCATGCAATGACATTGCAAGGAATAAAAGGCAGAGGCAAACAAGCTAAACGGTTGCCACAGTGGAATGAACAGTCCACTTATCCTGCATATGTTTTATGCAGCGGATGCCCTTCCAGCTGCAATCCATCACTGGGAAATGTCCATACACTCTCATTCAAACACATACACTACGGCCAATTTAGCCTATTCAGTTTACCTATAGCGCAGGTTGTGGGGGAAACCAAAGCACCCAGAGAAAATCTACGCTAACACGGGGAGAACATAACCTCCACAAATAAATGCCAACTGACACTTTATGTATTTGTATGTGTGTATATATGTGTATGTGTGTGTGTGTGTGTGTGTGTGTGTGTGTGTGTGTGTGTGTGTGTGTGTATGTGTGTGTGTATGTGTGTGTAACAATATTATTGTACAAAAACAAATAAACAAAATAAACTGTAATGCATATTTTTTCAAAAGAAGTTTTCATTACAGAAGTTTGAATTTTTAAGGAGCTGTGACAGGTCAGCTATGGTTTCAGGAAACACTTTTCTCTACATTATTACAAATGATCAATTATAGTTCAGCTGCAACTTGTGTGATTGCTTGTGATAAAGTTACTGTTCCTATCAGATTTCTGTATGATTTACACTGCAGAACCACAACATAAGTCTACATTTTGAATGTAATACAAGGGTTAAAGGGGTTTTGCCATAAAACACTTTGATCATTTGGGATGGAAGAGCTTGAGGTACAGTACTGTGAAATCACACTGTAACTTTCAGAACTCAGAATCTACTTCATGGACCAAAAATAGCATTTATTGAAATGAGACTGAAAAAACCTGTGCTACTGGCTGATTAGAAACATTAGACCCATAGAAGTCATGCAAAAGTAAGCTAATTGTAATGCCTACCAACCACAGTTTTGTTAAATATATGTGCTGTAACTTACAGTATATGTAGGGTAAGGAATTTGCTAGTTGTACACAAAAGTAATGAACAGTCTCAGATAGTTCACATTACACTCTAAATACACATTAAATCATGCATAAAACAAACAAAATAGGAAAATATTTGTCATCAGATTGGTTGGTATGCGTACACTGCCTGTATTAGCTCTTACCAAGATAAACTTAACTCTACAATTTCAAAGAATGTGAAGCTTGAAGCTTAAAATAATTTATTACAAGCCAGTTAAAGTTGGGACATCAACAAAACATCTGTTGTTAGTTTCTTTATATGTTGTTACATTTATTTAATTTGTATTTATGATATGATATATGATTTAGAATTGATAACATGTAATTATCTAATAATTTGTTACCATAATAGATTATTCTACAATTATTGCACAATTTAAAAGAATAACTGGCTCAACCTTTCCATGAATATATTTATCTCTCTTTATCTCTCTCAAGCACAAATGTGTGTTTTGGAAGCAAACTTTTAAAATGCAATCTACCAATGTCCAACTTTGCAAGTGACATTTTGAAAAACAAGCCCAAAGTCGCTCTGAGTAAGCAGACATGGTAATACTTTTAAGGGCTTAGGATTTGGCGGAGAAAAGTGTTGTTTTTCACTTCACATGCCCGTTTTACTTCAAGAATCATGGAGAGGTTGAAATAGGCCTGAATAACTGAACCGTTTTTGTGAATGTGCCAGGATTATAATTGGACCTTAGAGAAAAATATTCATATTATGACCTTATTAGAAGTGTTTTTAAATGGAACCCTCTATGATTAAAGTTTTATTTATCAGTCAGATGCCAGAGATCTGTAGAAACATATAAATATACACCGTAGGACTGTTTTGTAGATGAGAGACACCACTGAACGCTCTATTTAAAAATTCATATTTAATGCATGAATCCACAGTACAGTAAGCATTCATTTCTTTGACACGTTCTTCTGCGTAAACCAGACTAGATTCAAATCGCAGAAGGAGATCACACTGTTGGGATCAGCAACGCGCACAGATTTATAAAAATAATTAGGTCATCATCACTCTCAACCCACTAGTTTCAATGAACAAATCGCCTGGCACATTGCTAGCTTGTTTATTTATTTGTTTGTTGGCTGCGTTATTTGTTTTCTATCAGTTTGAATAAAACGAAACAAATAATTTTCTGCGTAATATTTTAGTGCTGGACAAATTCTTCCAAGCAGTTGCGATTGGGTTGATGTCTCATGTAAGCGCTGATGTGTAAACGGGGAGATGAAGATGATACAAACAGTCTCTGTGGATTAAAGCAGAAAGTGTTGTGAAGACAGTCCTGCTAAGAGCGCTTTTCCTCCATGCAAAACACGTCAGTCAGCTTAAACACCAGAGACGTGGGCTGGATTTAGACTCAAGGATGGTTCCGAACTAAAAAAAATACATGGAGGGAGAAAAAAAGCTAATTATCAGTTATAATTGACCTCCGTGTTTTGGACCTTTTTTATGCAACACAGGCTCACTGTGAATTCGTAGCCCTGTAAACATTTTTGGAGAGCGCAAATTATGTAGCCAGAGCTACGTTTGGCTGCAAATTATCTTTAAAATGAATGCTATGGGGTGGTATGACACCCCCCACGGCTACTGTTTCTTTTCTTGCTACCAGCTGAACGCTTACCACCGTGAGGACGGCTTTTCCCTTGTTACTAGTTTGCACAGTAGCTTGCCTTGTATGTCAGCAGACTTGAGATGCAGAAAGAAGATGACCACGATGGGGGTTCGAGTCCAGTAAAGAACGGTTCCAGAGAGCAGGTAAAACAAAAACAAAAGGCACGAATAAAATGGGAAATGCTGGGAATTCTGGAGATGGCACCAGTCGTGCGGGGAACTCTGAAGGCATCACCAGCCTTGTGGGGAACTCTGGAGACGGTACCGACCATGCGGGAAACTCGAGAAATGGCACCGGCTCTGCGGAGATCTATGGAGACGGCACTGGCCGTGTGGGGAACTCTGGAGATGACGCCGGCCGTGTGGGGAACTCTGGAGACGGCACTAGTCGTGCAGGGAACTCTGGAGTCGGCATCGACCGTG